CTTTATGTTTAACTAACTTATACATATATATTTCATCGTCCTTAGTATCTAATACATTACATAAATCATTAAAAGCTAAAATATTTGCATTGCAAATTGCTTTCTTAGACTCCTTACAGGCCTCTTTATATATTTCCCAATTATCATGGTTTTTATAACTACACCAATTTTTATAATAAATCTTATAATTTCACTAGCTATTTTTCCACATAACATTAGCATCCTCATGCACAGACAAAATTTGAAAATCTAGAATCGTACTCTTAAAAATATTTTTGTTAATATTCTTTAAATGCCCCCATCTAATCCTAGAACAACGATTTATTTTATTTTTAATTTTCTATCACTTCGTCTTAAAGTCCAAAACTAATAAGTGATGTTGAGTGCATAAACTTTCACTAGGAATAACTTTACATTCTTTGCAATCTAAACGATCTATTTTTTTTAAAAAAAAATAATCATTCTAAGTTTTACTACATCCAATTTTATAAGTAATGAGATGCTCATCTCTTTTCTTAAATAAGGTATTAGCAATTACAAAATCATAAGCTAAAGAAAAATCTAATATGATCTTACCACCTTTATTAGTCACTTCAAAGTCATAGCCACTATGAATTATTTTAAAATCATCTATCTCTCTACCAATATATCACTTAATTCTCCTCCAATAATTTTTTTTTCTCCGAGAGATATATTTTGTATTAATTCTTCTAAGTCATTCAAAATTTTTAATTTTGAACACATATCCAACCCTACTTGAGAAACATAAGCGTTTATAATATTAATAACTTTAAAATCAACAATAATATTTAAAATTTTAATTCTTTATCAAATTCTATTAATTTTAACAACATTATCCTTCAAACTCTTATTGAAAATCACACCTACAATATTTCTAATATAACTCCTACCATAATATCATAGTTTAAATCTTAAACTATCAATCTCCTTAGTCTTCTCTCCAACCCATATAGTTTCTTGAATGCAAAGAATAGTTATCTTCCTCTGGATTATAATATCTATTACTTTCATTAATTTGCCTTTAAGGAAACCTATATTTCAAGTTTATATCCTAATTTTAGTTTCATGAATTAGCTTATTTGCCTTCATCCGTCCATAATGTGGAGAGTCTTGCCTATTTAACACTGCACCCGGGCACCGATGCAGATCCCTTGCTCACTTGTCGTTGCATTCAGGCCATACAACACGTCGCTTCAAGGGCACACCCTTAGCATTAACATAATATATTAAAATATTCATGTCATCATAATTCGATAAGTTTTATGTTGGTTGTCGACTACCTAACGCAACCCTCAACTATGTTAGAATTTTGGCTAAGATGTCTTAGAGTAACTTGGAAATTGAGGCATTATAAGGTCATGAGAGGTGTGGAGAAATATTTGAAAAAGAAAATGTGTTTTAGGGTTGAGGAAAGCTAAGTTCGATGCATGTAGTGGAGACTGGAGATGAGGAATAAATGTGAGAAAATATAACTAAGTACTCACCAAAATATTAAGGGATCTGCTACAAAGCTTCATTAGAGAGTAGAGTAGCCACTAAATATTTAAAAAAAAATATATATAAACAAAAATAATTGTTAGCCAATGAATCAAAATGTATAAAGCAATATCCTAATTATAAGCATTTTCAAGCCTAGATAACATTGAAAAATCCTAAGAGACAATAAAACACAATTACATTGGTAAATGACTTACAATAATACAAAGAAAAAATTAAGAAAAATAAATAAAATTTAGAGCTTCCAAATACATAAAAGTTTATATTGGTCAAATAAGGCAAGTAAAATGATCCTTAAATCAAATAATTTATGAATTTTTTGCCTCCATGACTAATATGTCCTAGTTATCCATATAGGGATCTTAAATTAAACTTCTTAATCATTTTTTCATGATTTTAAAGAGATTATGGGTTATCAATGGGCTTGCATAGAGAATTGTGCATGATGAAAAACTCAAATCTTGATGCAAAAAAATAATTTTTGTCCTTTATCTTGGTGTTGCATTATATAATTATTGTAAAGGCCCCTCAAAGTTTGTAGCTACTAAAAAAGTATTCAAATGTATTTAATTTTGCAATTGAGGCAAAAGTCTCCAAGTGGTTAGTTCAATAGATTTGGTTGAATCCTTTTGCTACTAGGCATACCTTAAGGATTTAAGAGTGAATCAATGGATCCATCAAATATGAATTTAAGAGTGAATACCATTTATACCCAACTGGAATGGCACCATAGAGTTTCTAAATAATTTCTCAAGTTACTGAGTTTGTTAAGTTACCTTTAACAAAAAGAAAGTTTCCACCACCCACTTAATAGAGTTCAATGACTCTATGAACTCATCGGTCTAACTAGCCAATCATATCAATGAGAGGGTAATACAGACATTAACATCTATCACACACAAGCATACACATTTTATGTATATTTTTAGTCATAGCAATTAACCTATAATCACTAGGACCAAAGTTTATTTCATATTAACATAATATGACTTGCATGAATAAGATTTACTACATACCAACTAAGGCACATGTTAAATAAGTTATGATATCAAAACTTTATTTTTAAATAAAGAGTTTATGCATAAGTTAACATGATAAACTATTTATATATTATACAATAACAACAAGTCTTTATCCCACTATATGATATTGGTTACATGAACCCTTTTTCTCCATTATGTCTTATTAAAAAGTAAAATTCTCCTTTAAATTTAATTTAAAAAGGTCATTTTTAATACTTTTTAATCCAGTCTGTTTAAATCTACCTCTACATTTCTTAGCATAAACTGGATCTAATTTGTTGAGGATGATGATCTAGTTCGACCTTTGGGCATATAAGCCATGTGAGTAGGCTCAACCCTCCAGGATCCTTTAATTTAAAATCGTGACAATCACATATATTTATTCTTCTAACAAGATCATCTAAAGGCTGATGTTTTCTGTGACCAAACCATCTACAATAACTCTCTCTAATTTTATCTTCAGCTGGAGCTACTCCAACCTTTTCACGTAATACTCATTTTATATTATGTCTCCAAGTGTAAAGTTACTCATCCACCTCAGCATCCTCATCTATGGTACTCTTAACGTAATTTTCTGTTTCTCTTTTAATTGTCAACATTTTGCACCATAAAGCATTGCAGGTCTCACTACCATCTTAGAAAATTTACCCTTAAGTTTGAGGGGTACTTCTCTATCACACATTAAAACAGATACATTCCTCCACTTCAACCATCCAACTTGAATTCTACTAATAATATCCTCATCTATTCTGCATTTCTTTGAACAAAACAAAACACCGGAGATATCTAAAATGTACACTTCTTTTAATGTCTTGATCACCCAATGTCACAATCCCACCACTAGATGATTACTACTAACATTATACTCCATGTATTTGGTTTTAGATCTATTCATATAAAAACCATTAAACTCTAAAATTGACTTCCATAATTCAAGTTTTTCATAAACTCCCATTATAATTTTATCAACAGGAAGAATATCATTAGCATAAAAGTATACGCCATTGCAAATGTCTAATAAGACCATCCATGACTAAAGTAAAAAAGATATGGGCTTAAAATTGATCCTTAATGTAATCCAACTGAAATAGGAAAATACTTGGTCAAATCACCTTGTGTTTGAACACAAATAATAGCTATTGTATTTAACTCATTAATGACTTGAATATAATCATTATTAACTCCTTTCTTTTGTAGAACTTTACATACAACTTCTCTTTGACTTTTTTATATGTTTTCTCTAAATCAATAAATATCAAATGTAGATCCTCTTAACTCTCTCTATACTTCTCCGTCAAACCTCTCAACAAATGTATAGCTTTCATAGTAAACCTATTCAACATGAATCCAAATTAATTTTGAGAAATATCAGTATCATTTCATAACCAATGCTCAATCACACTCTCCTACAATTTTAATGTATGACAATAAAACTTAAATCCTATATAATCCGCACACTCTTATGCATCACCTTTATTCTTACCAATACACACCTTCTCAACTCAACTGGCATCTTTTTAGTCTTCAGAATAATATTAAAAAAATTAGTAAGCCAAAAAAATCTTTGATCACCTAAGCATTCTCACACTTCTATTATAATATAATCAGGTCCTATTGTTTTTTCATAGTTCATTTTCTATAAAATACATCCAACTACAGTTTTACTAGTACAATGATAAAAACAAAAATCTCTATTTTCATTTAGGGTGCTAAGACCACTAAGGAATCGTATCCTCACAACTTTCATTGAAAATTTTATCAATATATCTCATTCACATATGTTGAATATTATTTTCTAAGAAAATTACTTTTTGAACTTTATCCTTAATGCACTTTACTTAACAAAAATTTTACTTCTCATATCTCTTTATTTGGCTAAAGTATGCATACATGTTTTATCATCTTTAATATCTAATCTATTATATAAATTATTACAAGCTAAACTTTTTGCATCACATATTACTTATTTAGAATCCCTATAGGCCCCTCTATGTCTTTCCTAATTTTTCGGATTTTTTTATTTAAATCAATTTTATAAATAAAACTTCTTATTTTTAATCTTTTCTTGCACATTTTGATTCCATCACCACTTATTTATACTATTAAGAGCTTTTTATTTATTCACATACTTTACAAATGTTTATAAATTTTTTTTTGTTTTTTTAACAATATAGCATTACTCTTCTTTTCTTTCTGCTTTTTTTTTTTTTTTTTTTTTTTTTTTTTCTTTTTTTTTTTTTTTTTTGCTTTTCATCTTTCACTTCGAAAAAGAGGGTTACGCTAAAATGACAGAAACACAAGGGAATCAAAGCAGTTCAGAGCCAATTCGCTCGGCAATGTAACATGGGAAAAACAAACCAACAACCCAATGGTCAAAACAGTCAGGAAATCAACAGAAAAACAATATACTACTAAGTGCGTGCTAGAAAACAACAAGAAGAGTAAAAATGAAGTCAATACCATCTCCAAAATCCCCGATATAATCCGCTTCCTCGTCCTCGAGTTCTTTCTCAACTTCTTCGACATCTTCCTCCGTGGCTTCCTGTTCCTTTAACGTGAGCTCTTTGGGAGAAGATTTGGTGTAAGAACCCCTCCCCTTGCCATGGCAAATGACAGAATGCCGTCGAGAATTGGCAGAAGCGCAAGGAAGAATCCGTAAAACGAAGTGATTTACGGGATAAAGGCGTGGACAGAGTGAGGAAGAGGGACTGAAACAACGGGCGAGATTACTCAAAGCTGTTCCCGCTGCTAAATCCATCGTTAAGAGAACGCAAGGAGACTCCGCAGGCAAAGAAAGTATTGTGCGGTCCGGAGTCCAATGTGTACAGTCACTGCGCTTGTATTTTTTTTTTTTTTTTTTTTGGGGATTTTTTTTTTTTTTTTTTTTGGGTAAACACTGCGCTTGTATACATTGAGGTACATGGGATATATGTAGAGCTGTCAATATTTAACCCAACCCGAAAATCCGATTCGAAAATTTCGGGTTTGGGTTAGAGATTTCAACCCGTTTGTTAAATAGGGTCGGGTTCGGGTTGACCCGGAAACCCAAAATCGACCCAGTTTGACCCTTTTTTTAATTAATTTAATAGGATTTTAAAGGATTTTTATGAAATAAATAAATGATATTTCAAAAAATTATAAACATTGTTGCTCAAATTAAATTAATCTTGATTTATTTTAAATTAATTGAAGTAAATCTTACCTTAATTTAATTTAGACTTAAATAAATTTAATTAAATAAAAAAAATTTAATAGAGTGTGTAGCATTTATGAGATACACTAATATTTTTACGTGGAAAACCCCTGAAAAGGGGAAAAACTACGAGATCTAGCCCAGTTTGAATGAATCCACTATTGTTCACAGTCGATTACAAATGGGACCCTTCCTTGGGGAAAGGCCTTAGCTTGATGTACATCTTATATAGTACATTACATAATGTAAATACAAAGAATCATTGTTGATGTGTTTGTTTGATCGGGTGGATTGTAGTTGGTGGGCGACGTAAGTTAAAAGGACCGTAGTCGGCGGGCGACGGAGGTCGGCAGGACCGTAGTCGGTGGGCGACGTAAGTCGGAAGGACCGTAGGCTGCGGGCGACGGAGGTCGGAAGGACTGTAGTCGGTGGACGACGTAAGTCAGAAGGACCATAATTGGCAGGCGACAGAGGTTGGAAGGACTGTAGTCAATGGGCGACATAAGTCAGAAGGACCATAGTCAACGGGCGACAGAGGTCGAAAGGATCGTTGTCTGAAGACAGAGGTCGAAAGGACGGCATTAGGTAGAAGTGTAACGCCCCAAGATCTAACTTGAAAAAAATTTCAGTCAATCCATTAAAACCATCAATCATTTACCAGAGCTATCTATAGTCTTCAATCAATAACAAACAGTCTAACAAAATTCTATAATTTAAAACATCAATGTACAATTCTATTCATATCACAAAAGATCATATACAATACTCAGGTTCTACACAATGATCATATGAAATGAAATCTATCCTGTCATGAGTACAAAAGAATCACTATAACTAAAAAGAACAAAAATCTGATGATTCCTAATCAACCTCAATCTCCTGCTCCCTTGCACTGACCTGAAAATATTAACCACATATAATGAGCTTCAAAAAGCCCAGCAGGTCACCAAAAACCTACAACTGGAATCAAAGCACGGTACTGAAATAATATGCATGTCAGTCAATCAAATCCGTAACAGTCAGTTGCACATGATCAGTGAATCTATGAAGCAGATATGGACATCAGTAATCAATGCATGATCGATACAATCCACAATCATCGGTAAAAGAATCGATAAACAGTACGAAGAAATCCATAACACTAAATCTCAGAAGAATCCGATCAAATCGATAGAGAAAAATCGTCGTCTCGATAATTTCAGTTAAATCAACATCGTATTAATGGAATCAATCAAATCAATCATCTCTGATCAATAATATTAATTGGTATGAAATCATATAAAACAATCAAACCAATACATCGCAAGAATGGTTGAAATCAAATCAATACAGTAAAACATATTCTATATTGATCAATGAATCACATGCAACAGTTCAATACGGTGTATCAATGAAGCGATAGTATCAATGAATCAATAGTATCCATATCCATAGTATCAATAAATCAATATAATATCAATATCCATATCAATATCAGTATCTATATACAGTGACACGTATAATATGAAATATCAATGAACCGACAATAACAACAAACCCGTAAATTCATCAGTAAATCCATTCGTCAAGAAATCAATCAAATACATTAAATCCATCGATATCAATAAATCTATAAATTCGTAATGAGATCATAAAGACAATTTTGTACACATGCAATTCAATATAATAGTCTTACTGAACAAGTACAATCACTGGCTATTAAGACATTTTTCGGTATCGATGTATTGTTGTGTCGTTATATCTGTTGGCTTAATAAGAGTCGTTTCAGAAAATTACTAAATTACCAGAAATCTAATAAAACAACGTTACAAAGTTTTACTTGTACTGAAGCAATATTTTCCAACATCCTGATAATTTTCTATTCGATAAAAATCGCACAGAACTCAAAATAACCAGTAGAAACTTTATAGAAAATACTCAAATCATGTAGAAATATCATATCAGAAACATATCAAAAGTTGTGCGGTAAAACTTTCATCAATACAAAATTATGGGCGTTTTTCGGTAACGGAAACACAAAACTGGGCACAAAATTATCAAAACTCAAAATCTTCGAAATCAGAAATAGGATTCGGAGTCCTTACTGCGAGACAAACAAATCTTCCAACTGCGTCGTCTGACGAAAAGCGCTCCGCGGCCTCGAAATCAAGCTTTCCCTTCTCTTTCTCTCTCCTACTTTTCTCTCTCCTCAAAATATTTCCAAAATATCTCAAATCCGATACTTATCAAGCAGGATCGTCCAGGACAATGCCCAGATCGTCACGGGACGAACTCCTTTGGACACGGATCGTACATATGAAAATTAATTCCAATTTGTTTCGTCCCTGGAACATGCTCTCTGTTCGATTCGTCTCGACCCTTATAGGATCGTCCAGACTAAATTGACAGATTCTTCACAATTTTTTTCAGTTCGTCCGAGACTAAAGTCAGTTCGTCCGGACTAACAACGCTCAAAAAAATCAGTTTCGGATGGGTTTTACAAGAAGTCCAGCAATGGACAAAAATCCAGCACCAGATAGATGTCCGGCGAAAGTCCAACAACGAGTAGAAGTCCGGTGTCAGATAGAAATCTGGTGACGAGCTAAGGTCCAACGTTAGGTAGAAGTCTGACGTTTGTCGGCGGCCGGGGAGAACTCCGACGTTAGATGATATTCGAACAAAACTCCAGAGTCACTTAGAGATCGGGCAGAGTTCCTGCGTCCCGTGAAAGTTCGGCAGAATTCTGACGTCACTTGGGCAGATTTCTGATGTCACTTGGGCATCGGGTAGAATTCCGACGGTGGTCGAGGAGGAGTTTCTTCCCTCCTGTCCTTCTCTTCTTCTTGCTTGGGCCTCCTCTCAAGATAAATGAGGGGTCTATTTATATATTTTAGGAGTGGCATGGCTCGTAAATAGGTGAGAGATCAGGGACAAAGGTGGAGTGATTCAGATGGACGACCGATATTGAATCCCTTGATCTTGTACTGTTCGTCAGACATTTGAAGGTCTTAATGATATCAGAATTTGTCGAACTTAAGCTCTTTGGATTCCTCTCGTTGAGCCGCTCGATTCTACTATAAGCACGTCATATTTGAAAACCATTTTGTGACTCAAATTGTGATTTGAACTTTCTTATAGCGCTTCAGGTGCTTGATTTGGACTCATTTGGGCTCGAATTGAGTCAAATTTTTGTGTTGTTGATTTTGTATTTCCGAGAAGCTTAGTTTGACTATAAGTTTGCTGAAATTGGAGTTTGGGTGATCCGAGATTTAATTTTTAAAGTTTTTGGCTTGATTTTGCCTTGAGATTTGTGTCCAATCAAGATATTTTTTTTGAGGATATATCAATCTTTTTATTTTGTATAAGTTATATGATAGTAAGACATTGGATAGTCTTGCATTGATATCCTCATTTTCAAATTAAATAAATTAGGCAAAAATAAATTTTAGTTGAAATGCTTCCTCTTTATTATTATTATTATTATTATTATTATTATTGCATTCTACTTATTGTAATTCCATCAAACTAGCGAAAGGACATTCAGTGGGAGTGATGACTCTCTCTTTGAGAACCCCTTGCTGCATCTCATTCTCTCTTTGGATTCCCTGACTTCCTCCATTACCTTCGGCTCTATCAGAGGAATTTCCTCTCCCTCCCAGTTCATGAAATCTCCACCTCCTCCCCCTAACTTCATCCCTAGCCCATCCAACAAGCAAATAGCCCCTTCGTTCCACAAAATGTTGCTCTTTGGAACTTTACCTGAGTCCGACTTTCCCCTCTACTACATCATCAAAAACTTCCCCTTCTTTTATCTCTCCTCCCGACCACCCAACCTGCTACCTTCATTAACTAGAAATGCATCGTTTGTGATGCCCAGAATATAATTTAAAAGAATTATTCATTTATCTTTTAATAAATAACAATCTGAGCTATCTAATATCATTTATCAGTAATAAATAGCAAAACATCAATGCACACATTTGTATTCATTCCCAAAAATTATATGCAATACTCATAATATATACATTCATCACATATATATCATGTCTCGAGTATAAAATAATAGCTAAAATTAAAAAAAAACTGAACATTAAGTAATCATGACCAGCCTCACACTCATGATCCTCTACTCTGACCTGAAATCAATTAACTATACATAATGAGCTAAAAAACCTAGCAGGTCACCAAAAACTATAACTGAATTTAAGGCACATCAAAGGAGCAATTTGTATGTTAACAGTCAAATCATAGTAATTACATTCATATGATCACTGAATCAGTGTAGAAATAAGAAAATCCAAATGCAATAGTAGTAGAATCAATTTACAGTAAAAATACTATTGTACGAAAGTCAGTGATGTAGTAAAGCAGTATGAATGTCAAATCTATAAAGCAATCATTGTATTCATAATACTAATTAGCACATAAATCGGATAAAACATTAAATCCAAACATCAGTAAGTGTTGTTATAATCAAATAAATATATTAAAATTATATAGAAATGTATACATGCTATCCAGTTATTATACATATATATTAAATCAATATCTTAATCACATGCTCAATATATCATGTATATCACATACTTAATGAATATATCACACTTTTTGTATCAATATATCATGATGTTAAAATTTATTTTCCTGAGCAAAATACGGGTTATTACAACCTTACCTCAAAAAATGCTACCTTATTGGATTTTCAAGTCAACTTTATTCAATCTTAAGATAATATTGCTCATATCACATAGTATGAGGTAGATGAAGCTGTCTCTTATTAAAATTTATCTCTTTTTGGGTATGTTATTGGTTCTCATCCCCATAATAAGCCCTCCTTAAAACCATTAAAAAAAATTGGTAGCTTAAGGGAAGTCTTTCTCTTCTCTCCCTCAATGATGATTTCTTTTTTTTTTTTTTAAGTTTTCTTCGCCCAATGATTTCAAAATGTTTTGGTCTGATTGACCTTTTTTTTAAGGAAGCCTTTTACTTTTAATAAATGGTTCGTGGATTTTGTGCCTATGAAAGATGAATTTGATTCTTTGCTTTTATGGATTAAAATTCATAATTTTCCTCTGGCTTGCTGATCTTCATTTGTTGTTTCTAAAGTTGTAAGTTTAGTGGGTATTCCTCTTATCGTGGATAATCTTACCGCTGTTAAGACTAGACTCACTTTCGCTCGAGTTTGTGTTCATATTGACAACTCCTTTAAGCTCCATGATGAAGTTAAAGTGAATATTGTTGGTAAAATACATAAGCTCATAGTACAATATTATTGGAAATTAAACTCAACCTTGCCTTGGTTGTGGTTCTATTAACCATCATCAATACCTTTACACATCTTCACAAACTCAGTCCTCTTCCCAGCCACCCCTCAGACCTCCTAGAGGTAGGAGCAGAAGTCAAACACCTCAAATACCTATGTAAAACCTATATGAACCCTTTATTACCTCCTAGAGAACCTAACCCTAATAACTAAAACGTATCCTCTTTACTCAACTCTAAACCTAAAGCCACTACCATTACCACCAACCATGAAAGCTCCATTCCCAATCTCAACATACCTCTCCCTAATTCTGCTCTCCTAAACAAAACCCATCCCACCCACCTTCTTCTTAACAAGTTCTCAGCCCTTTTGTTTGGCTTGAAAGATTTTTCTAATGCAACCCCATAAATCCAAAACCAACTTTAAAAAAAATATCCAAACTTCTAAATCTTCAAAGCCCCTACATCAAAACCTAATGAAAAAACTAAGGGCAAGACTTAACCCCACTTTAGAGGTTATCATGGTATAGATAGGATTTTTTCTTATAAGAATCTTATTAAGTCATATTGCATTGACATGGTTGTTATTATAGAAGCTAAAGTTAACCCTTGCCTTTTGTGCGACATCTGGTTTTAAGCTTCTCACACCCTCTTTCCCTTTGAAGGAAGCTGTAATAGTTTCCACTTATCTAAGCCTGGGCACATTTTGATTAAGTGGAATTCTACTAAAATGTCTTTTACTCCTTTATGAGTTCCCAACTCATTTATGGTCTAGTGAAAAATCAACTCTTTGCTTTACTTTCACTTATCTGTCATTTATGCTCACAACTCCCCTCTTGATAGGAGCTCTTTATAGACTAATTAGGTCGAGATTGGTTCCAATTTTTTTATTGTTGGTTCATCTTGGGCTATCATGGGAGATTTCAATTGTTTTAGATTTCAAGATGACATGTTTGGAGGTGTCCCTCTCCCTCAATCCAAACTTTAGGAGCTCAATAATATGGTTTTTGATAATGGCATGTTTGATTTAGCTTTTGTTAGTCTTCAATACTCTTGGTTTAATAATCAGCTGGATAACCAAATCCACATCAAGTTAAATAGGATATTTATTAATGGTAGCTGGTTGCAGAGCTATCGCACTTCTTATTATAATATGGACTGCCCCCACTTTTCTGATCACTCTCCAATCATTCTCTTATTAAAGTCTCTTACTCCTAAGTTATCAAGATTCCAATACAAAACTTACTAGGGTGAAATTTTCTATGTTTTGCAATAATGTCATTAAGGTGTTCTCTGAATTTCATTATATACTGTTCTTTATGGTAAGCTTAAAAGTATGAAGGTCAAGATTAAAGGGAATTTCTGGCACTCCTCAACTTATATTTCATCTTCTATTAATCTACTTGAGGCTCAACAAAAAGATTATTTTACTATTTTGGATTATTTTTCCTCTAATGTATATCTTAATGTAATTGTTAAACTTATATTTAGAATCTTTCTAATTTATATCTTTCGTCGGCTTCTTGGGTGATTTAAAGAGGCAAAAGTCATTGGCTCTCTCAAGGAGAAGATGATTTGAAATTTTTATATGGCATAATTAAAGGAATGAAAAATCACAACTTTATCATGGAGCTTTCTACTGATCTTGGGACTTTGTACTCTTATGATGATATTACTTTTGTTGTTATTAGACACTTTTAGTGGCTTCTTAACACTCCTTCTCTTACTTCCTCTCACTCTATCCCCATTGAAAGCATCATCCCTGATTACATGCTTTCTTTCTTGATGGATCATTTCTCTAATGAGGATATCAAGCAAGTGGTCTTCAATTCTCTTAAGTTTTCTTCTTCTTGTCATAATGGTTACCCTACGAAATTATACTCTTCTACATGGAATGTTACTAGTAAACCTATATGTGAGACCATTCATCACTTCTTCCAAAAAAGCTATCTCACAAAAAAGTGAAAGTCACTATCTTTACTCTGATTCCTAAAAATTCAGCTACTAATAACATAAAAGAATCGAGGCCTATATCTCTTTGCAATTGTTTCTACAAATTCATTGCAAAACTTCTTGCTAATAAGCTTAAAGAATGTATGCCTCATCTTATTGACATGTTCAATCTTGATTTCTTAAGCATAAAGTGTCCACTGATAATATCATTTTAGCTATTGAGCTTCTTTCTTATTTCAGAAAGGACCCTTACTATAACTATTTATATGCTAAATTTGACATCTTCAAGGCATTTGACACAGTTTGTAGGAATTTCATCCTCTCCAAACTTTCATGGGAAAGGTGAGCCTAATATTTTTGTCAACTGGATTAGAACTTGCATTGATAGTGTTTATTTCTCTATTTGTCTCAATGAATCTTTAAAAGGATTGTTTAGCTCCTCTTATGGTCCCAAATAAAGCTTCCCATTATATCTCAATCTTTTATGTACTGTTATGAATGGACTCTCATGTCTATTTAACAAAGATGTAAATGATGGAACTTTCTCTAAAGTTTATATTGGGAACACGTATATCACTCATCTTACATATGCAGATGACCTTTAGGTTTTTGGCAAAGCTACTATAGAAAATTCACAAGCCATAAAAAAATAGTTTGAATATGTTTACTGAAGTGTGTGGGCTCATATATTAACTCTTCTAAGAGTTCCATTATGTTCTCTATGAATACTGGCAACAATGATGATCTCTCTGTCATTCTTAACCTCCCTTCTGAATTAACTATATTAAAATACTTGGGTATTTCTATTTCTATTACAAGACTTAAGCTGTCTAATTTCCAACAGTTAATCATCTAAGTATTTTCCCTCTTACATGGTTGGAAAAGTAAATCCCTCTCTTGTGCTAGTAGAGTTCAATACCTTAAATTCGCCATTTTCAACACTATTTCTGATTGAATCAGATGAGCTATTTTACCTAAAACTTGTATTAAATATCTCAACAAGCTTTGTGCTAGATTTTTATATCATAGTGATTCCAGAAAATTGTAGTAGATCTCTTAAAAAAGTACTTGTAAGCCTAGGAATCATTATGCTATGAGTATTCCTTATCTTTCATATTTAACTTTTGCTTATTATTGTACTTTGATTTGGAGATGCCTCTCCACTTCGTTTCTCTGTAGCTCTTATTGCAAAACTAAGTATTTTTCTATTTGGAATGGTAACATTGTGAAATGTTCTAAATGGTGCAGGTTTATTGAAGGTATGTAGAGATTATGAAGCAATATCTGAATTTCAGGATAAATTGAATACCAATTTATCTTTTAACTGAGACCCATGGATTAAGGGGAATTTCATTGCTAGTTTGGTGAATGACAGTGTTTTCTCTTCTTATTTTGATGGTAGTGTCATGCAATATTTTATTCTTAATGAAAACTGATATCTTCCTTCTTTTTTTGCCTTTATTCATTAAGAAAGTGATTTATGACATCCTTATAGCTAATTCTATTTCTACTGATCTGAACTAGAAGGGAAAAATTAAGTCCTGCATAAAACATTTTATCATCTACCTTTACTTCAATTCGCCATCCCCTCCTGGGCTAAAATGTTATGGCATAAAAAGTTATCTCTTTGATTTTTTGTTTATGGATGGTTATCTTTATTAAGAGGATTGAAAACTGCAGATAATCATATTATAAAGAGCATTAGGGTGAACCCTAATTTGTGTTATTTGTTTTTGTTGCATTGAAAGCTCGAGCCCTTTATATTTTGAGTGTGATTTTTCATTTCAGTCGTTATGTAGCATAATTCCTTGCTTCTCTTCCTTTTATTTGAGGCCTAATTTGCAGCAAATTTTAAATTTTGTGGTTGACCATTTGGATACTCATGATATTATTAAAAAAGGTTTTTTATTTAGCTATTTGAGCTCTTATTTATTATATGGGGAAGGAAAGAAATTGGAGAAAATTTGGTAATCATTCTTGCAGTCTCTCAACTGGTAAATATGATATTAGAAATGCTATACGTCTTAAACTTCATAAACGAAAATACTGGCAAAATTTTCAGCTATTACTCTAGCATTAACTCAGGTGGCCCTTTCTCCAATTGGCAGCATCATAAGACTAAATTTTTGGCTATCTAGATAATGATGACATTTTTAGATTTCTTATGTATCTGTTTTTATATTTGACTTTCAAAATTATAAGATTTTTTATTATTGCAGCTCCACATTTATTGTAATTTCTATATAAGTTGTAATGCTTTTTTGTAATCTTTTTTAATTTTTATACAATGCATGTGGGGTAGTCAACTCAATTTAAAAAAAAAATAACAACAGGGACATATTGTCTCTTTACCAAAATACCCACACCTTTTTTCCTAATCCCCAATAATGCCATTTCCGCCTCTTTTTCCAATTTCGTTGGTGGACACGCTTTCTTCCATCTCCACTGTCACGCCCGTGAAGCACTACACCACCGCTCTTGGATTTTTCCCATCCTGCTTTGATTCTCTTCATTCACGGGAAAAACCACTACAAAATTCAAAAGCTTAGCTTCTGCTTTATAAGCACCCATTATTCCCCAGAAGCAATGCGCCATCGCAAACCCTTGAAGCCCCTTTCTCCTCTCCTCCTCATCGCCATGACCATCCTCACCCTCTCTCTCTTCCTCCTACTCCTCCGCCTACCACTCTCCTCCAGCATCAATTCCCCACCTTCGGCCATCAGCAACGCCTGCCGCGCTGCCCGTTTCCCTTCCTCATGCGCCGCTGCCCTATCCTCCTACCCTTCCCTCCCTTCATCCCCCTCTGCTGCCGACCTCATCGCTGCTGCCCTCTCGTCAGCAGCCGCTGGTCTCCCCACGGCGAAATCCATGGCGCAATCTATCTTCTCGTCCTCCTCCTCGAACCCTAACCGCTCCACCGCCGCCCGTAACTGCCTCGATGACCTCTCTCTCTCCGCCCGCCGCCTCTCCGACTCTGCCTCTGCCGCCTTCCTGGCCGATTCCCGCGCCTTTGCTGGCGCCGCCCTTTTGTACCAATACGATTGCTGGTCCGCACTCAAGTACGTCAACAACACCAGCGAGGTCGCCAAAGCTATGTCCTTTCTTGACTCCCTTTACGCCCTCACTTCCAATGCCCTTGCGATGATCAATGCCCTGCAACGCTTCGGCCCTGATGTCTCCCTCTGGGCCCCGCCCCAGACCGAGCGCGACGGCTACTGGGGTGAATCTACTGCCGCCACCGCTGCCGCCTCCGCCATTGGGCGACTCGTTCTACCGCCGCCGGACCTCACGGTCTGTATCACCGGCGAATGCGACCACCGGTCCGTGCAAGAGGCGGTTATGCAAGCGCCGGACTATGGAACGCGGCATTTTGTGATTTACATCAAGGAAGGAGTATACCGCGAGACGGTGCAAGTCCCGATCGAGAAGACGAACATAGCTTTCGTTGGTGAGGGCATGGGGAAAACTGTCATCACAGGTGACCTCAATGCCCAAATGACCGGCCTTTCTACCTACAACACGGCCACCGTTGGTGTCACAGGTGACGGATTTGTTGCTAGAAATCTAACCTTTGAGAATACCGCTGGTCCAAAGGCTCATCAAGCTGTGGCCTTTCGGTCCGACAGCGACCACTCGGTCATTGAATGGGTGGAATTTTCCGGCCATCAGGACACGCTTTATGCCCGCTCTCTCCGGCAGATTTACCGGCACTGCCGGATTTTGGGCACTGTCGATTTCATATTTGGCAACTCGGCCGCCATTTTTGAGAGCTGCGACATTCAGGTGGTGCCACGGCTGGAATCGCCGGAGAAGGGGGAGAGTAACGCAGTAACGGCGCATGGCAGGACTGATCCAGGGCAGCCAACAGGATTCGTCTTCAAGGACTGTGTTGTGAATGGGAGTGATGATTATGTTTCCATTTATCACCGGAAACCAAGGGCTCATAGAGTATATCTTGGGAGGCCGTGGAAGGAGTTTTCAAGGACTGTGTTTTTGAATTGCTACTTGGAGGAGATGGTAATGCCACAAGGATGGTTGCCATGGAGAGGGGAGTTCGCATTGGCGACTCTGTTTTATGGAGAGTATGAGAGCAAAGGGCCAGGGGCGAACTCGTCTGCAAGGGTGAGCTGGAGCAGCCAAATTATGGCTGAACATGTTGGAGTTTACTCGGCGGAAAATTTTATTCAGGGGAATGGGTGGGTTCCTGCTGATTAATTGCAGGGAAGATGAAGAAGATTTTGCTCTGTTTCTTTGGAGAATAGAATTGCTCGTTAAAAAAAAAGGGAGATAAGATTTCTCTTGATCAGTAATAGATTCCATCTTGGTACTAATTTGCAGCTTTTCTTTCAAGCTTTATGACTAGAGCTAAGGTGATTTTTTTTTTTGGAAGGAATTAAGGATCACAATATATATTGAATTAAGCTAAGAAAATATAATTAAAAAAAATTAAAAATTAAAAATGATCAAACTCTCAAAATGGAACTTGGATTCACTGTAAACGCAAAATGTAATTTGGTTTTCTAAGAAAATCACATTTCGAATCCGGCTTTCATTAGAAAACCAGATTTTGCATTAGAAAAAAAGATTTCAAATTTGATTTTCTATAAAAACTCAAATTAAAATTTGATTTTTTATAGAAAATCAAATTAAGTTTTGAGTTTTCAACCTAAGATAAAATTTAATAATTTTGTAATATTTAATATAATATTTTGAAATTTCAAAAATTAAATATAATACAATGTAATATTTAAAGTATTATTAAAAATAACATATAGAAATAATAAGTTTAACCAAATAAATAAATAATAAAATTTAAGGAAATAAATAATAAATAAAAGTCATTTAGTATTTTTAATACAATATAATATATATTTATAAGTATATTATTCAATATTGTTTTTGTTGTGTCCTGGAATATTCGTGGCGGTAGATAAATATAAAATTTAATGTCTTAGTTTTGTATGAAGATCCATCATACAAGTAGATAAAAAAGAGGGTGTAGTGTTCATAAGAGAAAAACATCCCAAACTTTATTTTGTTTCATTAATTTTTTTTTTTTTTTTTTTGGGGACATTAGGCCATTTAAGACAAACTCACACACACAACGCATACACATGGACTCGAACCTTGGACCTCTTAGTTGTAAGCCTAAGCTTTCAACCAATAGGCCAAGGTGAGTTGTGTTGTTTCATTAATTTCAACTCATCATTCATAGTATTGATCCACTTTTCAGAATTACTACTTTGAATGCCCTTTGAGAATGAAATTGGATTTTTACTTGTCCCTAAATCATAATCAGATTCTTGTAGATATATCAAATAATCATCTGAAAAGAAGCAAGAAGAAAGTTATCTCAAATGAAAGCTTAGTAGCATATATTTGGCAGAGCAAGTCATGTTGATGTCTCCAATATCCTGAATTATAGAAAATACTATATTTAATTATGAACAATCCATTTCTGTCACTAGAGTTTATGCATCTCACTTACATAAGGACAAACTTTTAATTATCTGCAATCTCATATCATGCAGCAGAAGCAAATAAGTACATGGAATCAAGGACTTAAGCTGCTCAATGCCTAATGAATCCAACCGAATTATTGATGCAATTCCTATAATGTCTATCCTCAAAAAAAGACACGTTGATAAAGAGGAATGGGGAAGCCAAGCGCTTAATGTTTACACTCAACCAAGCTGGTTAAGTGATGCATGAATGGCATGAAGGCTGAACTCTGGGAGTAGGAGGATCAAGGAAGTTGAAGAGATGAAAGACCATCCAATTTTTTGGCCGGCTTTGGGAATTCTGGGCCACCATCATCATACATTGGATCTCCCCAGTGCAATAGCATGCTCTTCCAGTCGCAGTAATCATCTTTACAAATTCTTAGCCTCGCATCAGTCACAATCCTCTTCCAATGACCATCTGAGTAATTAGCTTTCTCTGCTTGCCTCTTGTCCCACTCCAAAATCGCCTTCCTTTGCGTACTTAGAAGGCAGAATTTCTGCAACTTCTTCGGCATGGAATCATGCACTCTCCACCACTTCTGATGAGCAACATCACTAGCAAACTCCTGCATGAAGTCCACATTCCAGTTGCAATCATAGTCCCGAAAACATAGCCATGGCTTGAGTCCTAAGTAGTGAAGCACATAGAGAACTGGAGGATCGGCACCAAACAAACTGGTCTTCTTGGCCTTCTTCTCTTCTTCATCACCAATCCAGAAATGTTTCAAGAAGTTCATGTGCCTTGGAATTCTGTGCCACCATGTAAATATCTCATTCAAGTATCCCTGGTCGCCGCCATTGTATGATTTTATGTCATTGATGTGGTCCATTAACAACTTGAAAGTGCAGTTCGAAGGTTCGACGACCATCACGCCAGAGTTGAAGAGAGTTCCATTGTTGCCCGTTGCGCTGATCTCCGGCATAGTGAAGAGGAAATCAATGTTTCTTAGAACAAGAAGGTCGGCATCAATGAAAATGATTTTATCATATTCTGTTAGCTGCCATAGGCGGAACTTGCTGTAATTCCACTCATTGTAAGCATCCTTCGCTGCTTTAGGATTTCTTATCCTTTTGATCTTTTTGATCTTCCACCCTGCAGCCTCAAGGCCATTCTTGTAACGGCTACTGATTGTTTCATCGACAAGGATTACGAGGTCTCTGGTTGAACCAGTTAAACGTATACTTCGAGCCGCAACAATTGCTCCGCAGACATATTCATCCTCAGAGTGGAGAATTGTCGCATATGCTTCTCTGCCTGCATTAGTTGATGATGGCCTCACTGTTTGAAATTTGAAGAAAACGGATTTCAGCTTCTCTGATATAATAAAGCCACTTGCTACCAAAGTCAGGAAAAAAAATTCTGAAAAATAAAGGCAAGTTGCTTCTTTAAGCACTTACCTAGGATTATCAAAAGTTATATATTTACTCGCTTGCATTTATCATGAATAGTGTTGCAGTGTTACTTGTTTAATTAACGCAGCTCATCTTGATCTATTAGTTGAGAGTTTTGATTGGCTAACTAAAAGGTCTTGGATTCGAGTCTTGTATATGCTTAGGGTGTATGAATTTTTCTTAATTGACATAAATGTCTCAAATTACTATATAGAAAAAAGAAGAACTTTCCCCTTCTTTTAATACATAATGAAATGAAGCTTAACTAAAGAGCTAATTACATATAAACAAGGAATAATTCATACTATAAAAGATGTTTCTTGAATGTCTTCTATGCTAAAGCAAATGGCTAGGAATTAGAAGCAATGAACATAGGGGATATTATTTATATAAAGCCATTCTTATAGTGGAGATAATGGTGGAATATAAAGAGATGAAACAAAGAAATATGAAAAAAAGGGGAAAATTTGCAAGAAAGGCAAAAGTGAGACTTTTTAAAATACATTGATTGGAGATTCATCAACACCATTATCTTCCTTAGCCTTATCTCATCTCTTTCTGGTTGGCTTTATGAATACTCATCGTTTCACAACGTTTTAAACACAATCCTCTTCTCATTTTCATACAAGTTGTCTTTAATTTTCTTTACCCACCTTTGAAGTGCATTCTTTGCTTTTTTATTGTTCATGTCTAAATCACAAGCGTGAGTCTATTTTTCATTAACTTATTTTCAATAGATGTATTCTCATAATCCCCCTAATATAATCATTTTGAAATTTATCCATTTTAATATTATCATATTCATTTTAATGGTCTCATTTCTATTGTTCTAAATTTGAATAGGATGCTTCATGCAAGTGATGAAAAAGAGAGAAATGGATTCAATAACTTAATTGCATGTGTAATTCATCAAATTAAGGCTTCGTTTGGGATGGCTTTTTTACTGCTTCATGAAGCAGCTTTCTAGTACAAAAATTTTAATTTTTATGCTAAGAAGCTACTTTGAGAAGAAATAAAAAAGCCGTCCCAAGCAAAGCCTAAGAGGCAGACCATGCATGATTATCAAATAATTAAAATCTCACCTTTATGCTCAAATGGTAGTGATAATTCACATGACCCTATTGGAAACTTGAGTTTCTGCATTAAAACCTGCAAGTCAGGCTTGTATAACCAAATGTTCCCCTTTCTTGCAACAAGATGCTTGCATGAAAAGAGATTTGGTATTGGAAGACAGTCTGTAACAAGAAGAACAAGTGCTGGGTCATGGCCTTCTTTCGAATCCACTGAAAGTTTGGCTGCTGCATTCTGCAAATGTAATCGAGCTATATCCCTTGTCCAGTTGCCAGTCCTATTGCAGGGAAGTTTGACAGCCACCAGGCCAAATTGTGATCTTCTTGGGACCTTAGGATTTGGAAGATTTTGGCAAGAGGGTTCGTCAGATTCTTCTTCCTCATCAATCCATTCAGGATAGAGGTCATCCCAAGTAAGATCTTTACCAGCATTGTCAAGTTGAACCTTCGAAAATTTCGCAGTTGGCAAAAGATTTTGCCAATTTTTGATCTCAGTGCTATTGAAGTTTAGTAATCCAACCTTCAGATTTTGTTTCCTTCCATATAGCTTTGTTGTGATTTGTACTATTTCATCCCACTGAATCTCTATGTTTGAGATGTATCTTTGATCGGGAATCTCCACACTCCATATCCATCCAACACTTGCAAAACTTGACCTGCATTGTTGTTCTTAAGTCAGATATCGTATTCATTTTATATAGATTGCAGTAGACTGAGTGGTAGCCACTTTTCTTTATAAATATATCTTTTTTTCTAGTGGTGAGAAGAAAGGATGTCTCTTTCGTTGTTTACTTTGAAAGAAGGGGGGTTTCTTTGTAATAATTGAAAGTTGATATTAAGATAATTTTTCTTTGCAAGATGATATCATGTCCCATTAACCTAAGAAAAATGCTTTGTTGCCTAATTTATTGCCCAAAATAAGCCTTAATGAAATAAAAGAATAATGATCTAAATCATAAAAAACTTCTAAAAGTTTAGGAAACATGCACGTGCTTCCTGCTTCTCTAAGGTCTATTTGGGGAGGTGCAATTTTTTATAAAAATAATCGTGAAGTTATTATGGGTAAATTAAATTAAAAAATATATATATATTCTTGGTATTGTAATTTTTTTTAAAAAAAAAGCCAAATAACAATTTTCTTATAGCTCTCACACACTAATAAATTTATGCTTCATTTGGGACAATTTTTTTATTGTTTTCTTTTGTGCTAAAAAGTTGTTTTTAGAAAACAATAAGTTGTTCCAAACGAAGTCTTAGTTGTAAAAAATGGATTCTTATTACAAATTTTTTTGAAAAGTCGCAAGAAACCAATACTTAAATAGAATTATAATTATTGTTTGAAAAGCAAAGTAGTCAAAAAGCTATCTTAAATAGGTTGTAAGTAAACCATCAATGAAAGACTAATAAATTCATGTTTTTCAAAGCCTTATATATGGTCATGGTTAGGTACCCATTGGGTATACCCATGCTCTACAAGGGAGGGCTTCACCCACCCACGTCCACCTATGGTGACTTTTGGGATGTCGTACTCACCCATACTAACTCACTTCCCACACTTTTTGAACGCAGTCTGTCACGGACTGATGCCCTTAAGGCTTGTTTCCCTTTGCTTTGACTGCAAACTTTCAAGCCCATATTTGAATTTATTATGGTTGCAGCGCGGTTCAGTGTTGCTCACTGCCTAGTGAGGATTGCGGTAATATACGGCATACAATGATTAGCAATGTAAATCGGTTTATCCCCCGATATTGAGTATCCACTCGCGAGGTATTGGACGTACCCATACCCACCCATGGTATGTGGGTAGGTGTGGGTATGGATACCCAATGCAAGGCTCTGCTATTTTCCTTCTCATTTCTAAGAGTAAAGAAATATCATGTGAAAGTTTGGAACAGTTATTGTGAAGTAAAGCAAGCAAAACGGGTAGATATATAATTGAAGTAATTTTATGTACCGGGCAAGGTTGATTGATGATTTTGCATAGAGACACTTTATTGGAGAGTGAAGAACTTTAAATAAGATTCCAACCACCAAAAATACAGTGAAGCACTTCAACCAACAAAGCTTGCTGCTTGAACTCCTTTCTTGACTTGGGTTGTCCAGCTTAGCTGTTTCTTTGAGGCCATTGCTTTTGTGGTTTCTTCGTTGGTTTGCGTCAGAACTGAATACATTTAAATAAACTCAATGAGAGCTTTACTTTGAGGCTAATCATTAAGAAAAGAACAAAATGTGTAAATTAATCAGAATAAATAAAGAAGAAGAGCAGTGTAGAATAAGACAACATTCTTTCAGGGGCAGGATTGTTATTGAATTTTTTTTTTCCTTAAATATTTTGGAAGGCTTAAAAATGCAGGAAGGTGATGAAAAATAAGAAATGATAATAAAAAAATGAAAAATATTAAAAGGTGCATAAAATTAAATAAGAAAAATTATCAAATAAGTTGTCTTACCATTAAGGTTTCGTTTGGGATAACTTTTTTGATGCTATCTAAAACGTCTTTTTAGTACAAAAATTTCAGCAAAAAAGCTATCACAAACTAAGCCTAAGTAAGGAGATTATCTCTGCATGATGTATTTAAGGGTTTGTTTGGGCTAATTTTCTCACTATTTTGTTTTACATATATCAATTATAATTTCGTTTGACTATTATTTTCTTGCTACTTTCTAAAAATTTATATGGTAAAAATTGGCTTTTATAATAAAAGTTGGTAATGTGCGGTAGTTTTGAGAAAGCAGCTATTTGAATTTAAAAAAAGAAATATATTTTTAATATCTACAATATCTTTTTAAAAGTTACTTCCCCCACAATAACATCATAAATACCTTTATAAAATATTGCAGTTGTCTTAAACAAATTCTCAATCTTACACTCGATCAATAGTCAAATTTTTGGAATAATAAAAAAATGTCTTCACATTTGAAATTAAATATTTACTTATGTCACAACTTACTTTCCTATCTCATGATTCTATTTCTTATAAATGAAAGTAATACCAAATGACCATATAATTATAACATATTTAAAGACATAAATAAACAACAAAATAATAACATGGCTATAAAATGCAAAAGAAATAAAACATATCAAACATTTGTGAGAAAAATAAAATTTTTATTTTATGTTCATGATTCTCTTTAGCACAATTGAGTATAAAAAATGTAGCAATAGTCAGAGTCGTCATTTGAGTCTTCAATGATGAGTAATAACTTCTTTTAAAATTATTGTATAAAACAATTTTCTAGCAAAAAAAAATTTTTGAAAGTAGAAAAAAAATAATTATCAAATAAATATTATGATTGTGGTCTGAAAAATAAAATAATAAGAAAATTATCTCAAATGAAGCCTAAATCACTTTATATCAATTGTTTACCTTCATTGAAATTTGCTAAGGATTATGATTATATGTTTAATTGAGTATAATGTAGATGAGCATTAAAGTTGAACTTGAGGATAAGGCAATTATATCAAAAGCCATGGAATTGAATGTATTTTTAGACAGTCACCTTGTGGGATGGGAGTTATTCATGTGTTATTCATATCATGAATTATTATTTTCACCCTAAGATACGAGAGATTATTAGGTGCAGAGTGCGGACGGGGAGAACCGTCCGCACAAGCCTTATTCAGCGCTAGGTACCGGCACTCGGTATCGCTTAGTACCACTGGGTACCGCTAAGTACTCATATTTGTGCGGATGGTGCACACTCCGCACCTAATAATATTTCCTAAGATACATAACGAATTAGAAGATCTCACTCGTTCTCTAATTTCACATACATTACAAAGTAGTGTTGTAATATCTATAGGACGTCTTAATATTGAAGCATGTATGGAGCCACGATCATCGGCATACTATATGCCCAAATCATCACCTTTATTAGCTTTTAAATCATCAAAATATAATATTAGGTGATTTTACATCATCCTCATTTATATTCTAATCTACAGCTAAGGTCTTTCTATGAGTAGCAGACTTGCAATTAGGGGTGTAATTAAGTCAAGTTGACTCGTGAGCTGACTCAAATTTATTTAGATAAATGGCTCATGCGCCGAGCTCAATGAGCTAACAAACGAAGCTTAAGCCAACTTTGACAAGACTTGTTAGCTCGTAAGTTGACTCATTTAGAAAATATTAATAGAAAATGCACTTTAAGTATATTAGCATTCAGAATTTTAAATACAAAGTTATTAAAATAATTAAAAACTATATCACACTTTCGTATATTAAGTAATTATTATTTTTCTTCTAATTTCTCATTTTTAACCATTTTCTTAAAAAAATGATTAAATCATAATCATTTTCACTATTCATATCAAACGAGCTGGCTCGTGAGTCATCTCAAACTCGTAGAATAAAGCTCGAACTCTGTTAATTAATCAAGCATAAGTTCAAGAGAGAGGTGACCCGAACTTGACTTGGCTCATTCACATCTCTACATATAAGTAGGAGAGTGATGTTGAATAGATATAGATATCTCATTCAAGAAGAAAGCAAAATCATATATGATTTTCCCATCTATATATATTAGAGGAATTGATAATTTTATGCCACCAAAAATTATACATTACCCCTGACTCCAAGCTAAATTGGTTCTTATCAGTCTTTATGACTATCTATATATAATCTATGATATTTTGTAGAGAATACTTGTGGGAACAATCAATCTTTTGAGTAATTTCTTAGTAGATGTCCAACCGATTATGTTTTCTTTCCATATTCTTATGTATAGCACTTCAATATTGATATATATTGTTGAGGGCTAAATATACGCGGCAATAGAGTTAGAAAGTTTACGTCTCAGCGTTGTACGAATATCTAGCACACAAACATGAGAGAAATAAATACATCCAGACTTTTATGTGGAAAACCCTGGAAATGGAAAAAATCATGGGGCCACTCCTAGTTGAAAAAGATCCACTAGTGTTTGCTTGAGATACAAGAGGTTGACTCGTCCTTAAAATTTATGTTGATTAAATTACAATGATTTACTTCCTGATTGAAGTCCAGTTACACACAAGTTGCATGTGTATTTAAGTTGAATTCAGAATCACTTAGAATTCTGGCGTTACTTAGAAATCGGGCGGAGTTTCGGCGTCACTTGAACGTCAGGCAGAATTCCAACGTCACTTGGGCAGAATTCCAGCGTTGGGTAGAATTCCAGCGTCACTTGAGCGTCGAGCAGAATTCTGGCGTAACTTGGGCGTCGGGCAGAACTCCGGCGGTGATCACGGAGGAGTTTCCTCACTCCTATCTTTCTCTTCTTATTCTCTTCTTCTTTTTGCTTAGATCCTCTTTCAAGATAAATGAGAGGTCTATTTATAGATTTATGGAGTGCCATGACTCGTAAAATAGGTGAGATCAAGGGTAAATGGGGAGTGGTTGGATGGACGGTCGATATTGAATCCCTTGATCGTGTACCGTTCATCAAATATTTGAAGTTCTTAATGATATTAAAATTCAGCAATCTTGGGCTCGTTGGATTCGTCTCGTCGAGCCGCTCGATTCAACTATAAGCAAGTCATGTTTCAAAACTGTTTGTAACTCAAATTGTTATTTTAACTTTCTAACTGGGCTTCGGTTCCTTGATTTAGACTCATTTGGGCTCGGATTGAGTCGAATTTGGTGTCGTTGGGTTTGTATTTTCGAGACGCTCAGTTTGACTATAAGTTTACTGAAATCGGAGTTCAGGTAATCCCGGATTTAATTTTTGAAATTTCCAACTCGATTTTTGCCTCGAGATTCATGTCCGATCAGGGTAATTTTTTTATAACATATCACATATAATAAAAAAAAACGGCGAAGAATATAGTCACAAGGAAGACCGCCATGTGCTTCGAACAAAGTTTAATTAAGAAGGAAAATATGTTTGAATATTTTCAGATATAGTTTCAACATTATTCTTTTATTCTTTAAATCTAATTCGAATGAGGTTCAAATCATGACGGTAAAGGTTCAAACTTTAGTTGGAATCTTGTTCAAACAAGATTTGATTATGGTTCGACCAAACTTCAGCCATTTATCTATAAAGTATACAGATCATTACATTCTCGTTTGTATCATATGATACAACATCATTCAAATATTAAAAAAGACTCATCCATGACTATAATAGTTGATGTTGAACTACTTTGTACAATTCACACTATAGGGAAATTGTCAATTGCCGGCGGATTTTTCTGGCGGCTTACCGGCGGACAATTTTCTGACGGCCAAAATTTTAGAAAAATTACCGGGGATTTTCCGACGGCTTTTCCTAATATAATTTATAATTTTGATTAATTTTTTTGGCGACTTTAATTAAATAATAATTCTTAGTTAATTTTAATTAATTACAGGAGTTCACTTTTCAGTTTTCACCCTCTTATGATATTGGATGGAGATGCAGCGTACTTGTGCATGTTAAATAAAAAAAAAAAAAAGAAATGAAAAAAATGGAAATATAAATTATTGTATATTTATTGGTAAGTAGAAATGACTGATAAATAGAAATACGTTCACATGAGACGGTGATAAAATGAAAGCATGTAAAAATGGTTTATGTAAATGTACAAATGTGAAATTTGTGTTAGTGCTTTTCAGGGGCAGAACCCTTTGAGCCTAAGGACAATTGCCCCCCCCCCCCCCCCCCCC